CTGTCGACATATCGGCTGCGAGATCGGGGGTGTGCTCCAGCCAGGACTTCACCTGGAGAGGATGATATCCCAGCATAAGTGTTTGGATGACTCCATTGATATTCATTATCCGGTCGATAGTAGCGAGCTGAATTTTCCGATCATATATTCCGTTCACCAAACCCAAGACATTGATGACTTTCGATACTACACGTTGAAACGTTTGCATACGTTCTTCGTCTGTTATATTCTTACCATTCCTCGCACGAAGGCGATCGAGGCCACTGCCGTGAATTCTCCACTGAGCAATAGTGCCCGACATTGACTCTGGTTCCTCGTGCTGGGATCTATGTGCGGGTATCGAGAGTACGGCTTCAGCCGTAAGACTGGCGAGAAGAAGAGAGAGGAGATACTGGAGGCGCATAATATCGTTTGTTGCACTGGACAAAATCTTCCCGGAAACTGGATAGTCGGCTCCAAAGCTTCTTTATGTAATGAATTGGTTTTCGAGGCATGATCGAAAGACAGAAGTGGCAGATCGTTTTTCCGGATCTGTTTTACAAAATTAAGTCCTTACCTGAATGATGGGAGGAAAGATTGTGATCGAATCTTAAAGTAGAAACATTTCGAGTTTGTTCGTAAGGGGAAAAATCAGAGCGATTACTATTCATAAGAAGCATCTGCAAATTAGTGATAGTACTCAAATATTACATAGCATACATATAAATTTCAAAATTAATAATTTAAATACATCTAAAAAACCAAAAAAAGAACTTTCCTTAAGCAGACTTGCACAAATTACTATATTTTAGTAGTTAAAGTACACTAGAAGACTTTGCAGACACACTCGCATTACATACGAGAACTTTAAGCAGACTTGCGCAAATTACTCTTGTACTATATTTAAGTAGTTAAAGTACACTAGAAGACTTTGCAGACACACTCGCATTACATATTTAGTTCAGATCTACGAGACGAAAAATGAGGTGTAAAAGCACTTTAATACCTGGTGACATCCTGTGACGAATCAGATTAGATTCTTTGAATGTTGATCCGGCAAGTTTTTGTCTCATAGTCACGAAAGATGGGGCTTATCCGATTGACGACAATCGCTTTTTACACATCTGAAACAGTTGACACTTGGTGTTAAATCGTCAGCGTCAGTATTCCAAGCAAAACGACGTGGCCGTTCCAAACAACATTGACGCTGCTTCAAAGCAAATATGAGATTTCGTCACTTAATGAAGAACGCATACTTCAAGAGATTTATGTTGTATGCAAGAATACATCGTTGCAATTGTTGATGCTCATTATTCTTATCGATTAGGATAGGAGGTGACCTTTCTCTTATAGTGTAATGGCCACACGTATTTTGTATGCAGGGTGGGTCACACAAGATGGTGTGACCAGAAAATCTTGGTTCGAATCTGAGAGGTTATTAAATAACAAGTCTGTGGGATAACACAATGATGTGGCTACATCGTAACAAGCTACCACTAGTTATGCATGTTAAAATTAAATTTTACTATTTAATTAGGAAAATCTAAGGTTTTAGATATTTGCGGCTCTGCCGCAAATAAAATAAAAAATAAATAGTTTCAAAATTGAATAAAAAAGTACACTTGCCTTGAAGGTAGCAAATTGCGATGCGCTACACTCGTACTGGTTCTGGTATAGAGTGTAAGGTCAGTGACCTTAGCTTAGCTTCCTTTGAGCAAAGAGCTACGACAGCCCCGCTACAAATAGTGCACGTAGTTTGAAGTTTTGGGGAGCCTAAAAGCGATGCTGCACCAATCACACCGCCCAACAATTTCACAAGTTAATTTACAGGAATGGTTACAGCCTCCAGACAGGACTAAAATGAAGAGGATATCAATAGGCGAAGTCATTCATGTTTTATCCAAGGCTATTGTCTTGACAGACAAAAGTGAGCAAGAAAAACGTTAGCATGTTATCAAACATAAATTATTAACGTTTCCGAAGAAACAAGACATGTTTGCTGAGAAGCAGCGCAGTCTATGTTCATGTATTCAAAGATGTTAATTCAAGGATAGTGGGTACAACCGCCCCCTGGACAGCGAAATTGTCTCATTGGTGTCCACCAAAAGGCAAGTGACGGTCAGCACTCGCGGAATTTCGCAGAAGCTTAAGCCATGTCTTAGATTGATGGTGACGAGGCGCCAGTCAGTGATATATGGCAACTAGAGTCGTTGGTGATCCATACATCTGTCTAGGCCTTGTATGTCTCACTTCCATTTTTGCGCCGTTCCCATCAGTGTCCTCTCTTGCTAGTTTCTAAATTATGAGCACAAATTTGCTCACGAAAAGTCCTGATGACATTTTCAAGGATGACAGCTACTTTCTGTGGGAGTCCGCTATCCGCATGACTCTAGCACGGAAGAAGTTGCTCTTCCATCTCGAGATAAAGCTCGAGAATACTTCGGCGCAGGCAACTACCGGGTGGAAGACTGCCGACCTGAACGGGCTGGACATCGTTGCAAAAAAGTTGATTACTTCTTACCAATTAATGATTCTAAATGCGTTGTCTGCTGCGGAGGCGTGTGGACGATTTTGCGCGTGTTCCACGTCAAACGAAGCTTTCACAGCCGTGTCCAATTTTGCAAGAGACTCCATGAGTTTGTGATGGCCCCTGGTGACGATATTATGGAGCTTCTACTGAAATTCGATGAATTTGCAGCGGTCTTGCTGCTGTCGGTGACGAGAGTAAGGTCGTTGAGCGCTTGGTGATTTTTCTCGGTAGTCTGTCGGCTAAATATGAATGTATGGTGAAGATTATCGAGGCCCGCGGCTGATGTGAGTATGATACGCTCTAGAAGCAAAAATTAGGAAGCCTTCAATTTGTTGATGATGCGCGGCATGTTTCGTGATCGCCGTGGTGATTTTGCTGGTCAAGGTCGTAATAATGGACGCGATGAGTCGTCGAGCTAGTTCCTCATTCGGTGATTTTCTACTACGCTGTTAGTGCAACAAAACTGGTCACAAGTGTCCGGTGCCCAAATAAGAAGAGTGTGACAGATGACTTTATGTTTTTTTTATCTGGCGGTGAAGATTTTAATAATGTGTGGAGATAGAACCGCGGTGCGAGTTCGCACCTGACTTTTTATCGAGATAATTTCGAAGCATTTTGCTTTATTGTTGATAGAATGGATATCTTGATGGCTAGTTGTGATCGGCTTTCGGTGAAAGGGGTCACTTCTGTACGCTTGGGTTTGCAAAACGGACGAAGAGCCGTGATTAGAGATGTATTGTACTTCCCCGGCCTCGATCGTTAAATATTGTCGGTTTTCGCGTCAGCGATACAGGTAGCTAAGGTCTGCTTTGGACTTGGTGAGTGCGCGGTGCTATTCAAGGGAGAATTGATTGCGGCGTCAAGAAGTTGTTGCGCTGAAGTCGGTCACGGTATACTGCGAGAGTTATGCTCGGTGAGTATCCACTGATCAATCCTTTCTGCGACATACTCGCCTGGGCCATGCAGATCAAGATAAAATTGTGTCATGGTCCACTGTTGTGAGTGTTACTCCCATGCTCAAGGTCCATTTGGCTCATCGGTACTGTGCGAGGGTTGTGCATGTGGAACATTGACAATGACAATGATTTCGCAGCAGTATGATTAAGACTCGGGCATCACAAGAGATTGTTCACAGTCATTTAGTGAAATTCATGGAAGTGAAGCCTCAAGATGGGCTCGATTCATCGTGGTGTAATTTGATGAGTGAACTCGCCACGTTTAAATGTACTTAATGAAGGCCAAGAGTGAAGTCCTAGCTCACTTCAAGGAGTACAAGTCGCTCATGGAAGGTCAAGTGATCGCCTGAATATGATACATCCAGACAAACAATGGTAGTGAATATCACAACAAGAAGTTCAGTAACTTGAGCGTGGCCCATGAAGTTATACACTAGAGCAGAAATCCCTATACTCCAGCAGACCGGCAGGGCAGTCCGGCCCAACTGATCAATCGCTGAGATGGACCGCTCTATGCTATATATACATCTACCGAGGACGTGGTGCAGCGGGGCTGCCGTAGCTCTTTTACCTAAAGTCGGTGGCTGTCGTTCTATACTCAGTACGAGTGCAGCGGATCAGAAATCACTTACTTTAAGAGTAACTTTAACCTTTGGCCAAGACTAATGAACATTCCGTCTAAATTGTAGCTTGTAATTCTCAGTTTCATCTGCATCGGAGCCGCCTAAATCTAAAACTATAGGTTACCTATGCAACGGGGTTACATGTACCTTGGTAACAGGGGGGGGCACACGAGGTGGGCATGATGTGACTGCACTCAAATAAGAT